ATTAATCGAATAGTTATTCGAATGCATTAAATATTCTCAAAATTCTAATCACATTTGCCCTACTGCTTTCAAAATTTGTTGGTACAATTGTGTAAAAAAATATATAGGTACGTATATAGATATAGATACATGCAAACTTATACATAATCCATGAACGATAACCACGAATGCGGGCATGGTCATTAATATTAGTGAAAATGGTTAAAGCGGGAAGGATTTACGGGGCGCCTCATTAACGGAGGTACCTGTTCTCTCCCTTTTCGTTGCAAAGAAGAGACCAGGTATGTGTAGTATATGTTGGTGCTCGCATCTGATAAGAGTTAAACATCGCACGGCTTCGTTCGGCTACCCGAAAGAACCGAAGAGGCACGTTATAAGGTGCGAGATGTAAAATGTGGTAGTGGTGGTGGTGGTGTTGGTGGTTTGTACCGAGAAAAAGAGAGAGAAAAAGAAGTAATCGACTGGTTCGAGCCGAAAAAGGACGTTAAAAATTGAAGGAACGGTCAGGAGGAAAGGAAAGGTGGGAGGGAAGTGGAACGAGAATAAGGAATCGCGTAAAAGAAGAAAAGACAAAAATAATAAGAAGAAGAAGGCCGTGTCGAGTTATCGGTTCGCGAGCATCTGCTCGCACGTTTGTCATCCTACTCGGGTACATCTGTCTAATTGACGCACGTAAATACCCACGAGAGAGTTCAGTACGTGCGCATGATCGCGCTTTCAGCGGAAGTTACCGAGTCGTTAAAAAGAAAGAAAGAAAGAAAGAAAGAAAATAAAAAAGAGAGAGAGAGAGAGAGAAAAGTTTGTACAACGACAAGGACAACGATGACAATCTGCAAGGGCCAAGTCCAAGGGCAGATGTTCATTAAGCCGTTTCTTCGTATGATCCCTGGAGTCAGTTTGAGCTTCCTTAACGGAACACGCTAAATTTAATTGAACAAGTGATTCAGCCTTGAAATTTCTCTTTCCTTCAGATCATCTGTGTTCTTTGCGATACCTACGCTCGATCGTATTCAATTTAAAATTTAGATATCTTACCGGTTGTTACAACCAGACCATGTTTTTCCTTCATTCGCGTTACATTTCCGACATCGAGCATGACTGACTTACTCTTGCACCTGTACCACCAAATGTCATTCATTTTTTATTCGATCATTTTCTTTCAATCAATTTGATCGACGTTCGTCGTTTTACTTACTGACTTACTTATTTATTTGATCAAATTAATAAGTGTTTTATATAAATTCAACAATTTCAACTGGTTACGTTTTCACTTTCTTCAGTTAATTACAATTATGTAATATTTATACATCTGTTCTCTTAAGGGTTGAAACTGTAAGAGGGATTTTAAATGACGACCAATGTCCTATATTTCTAATAATTTATAAGAATAACATTTGTAAGAGTTTCTAATAAATACAATTAAACTAACTAACTAATATCATTAAGTATACTAATCCAAATTATAACTGCATCCCAGGAAAGATTCCATTCCGATTATTTCCTTTACGAAATTTGACTAAACTATTTGTCACATCGATGTACATATAAGTAATGTACTACATGTAAACTTCTAATTTAGCAAATATCGATTTACCTATCGCATATCTATCTTTTTTCTCCATTTCGTCATTATCCACACCTGCGAGAGTCGGTGATTACAAATTCGTGAACGTGTTGGTTTAATGCATAAGCGTTTAGAAGCATACGGTATACTTATACGTCTCCTCCAACCACTTACTTCTACTTACTTATATACCATCATCGTGTGCGGCGTTTCAATGTTCCTTCTGAGAGTTTCAAGAAGGAAGAAAAGGATGAACAAAAATGAGAGGAAGAAGGTGGAAGAAAATAAAGAGAGAAATAGAATGAGAAAGAACGAGAGAGTAGATATATTACACGTGCAGGAGTGATTACTATACTATATATGTATGTACGGCATTTTGGCTTTTTACCTGATACCGAGTAGGACAGACAGGTAAAACCTAAAGGGGGCTTTGAAGAAGAGGTATATAGGAGAGGAAAGGGGAAGGAGGCCCGGTTTTCGAGCAGGTAGCCAACGTCGTCGTTCGAACGTCATTGCCACCTGCCGCAGAGATCGAGGATCCTCGGGATAAGAAGGGAGGCCAAAGAGAATCATTATTTTCTTAGGCAATTTACCTTTATGCTAAACAGCTGCCGAACCTGGCAACGCCTTCTTCACTCTTCCTCTCTTTAATTTCTTTCTTTCTTTCTTTCTTTATTTTCTCTTCTCTTTGATTCCGCTGCTAATCAACGCCTTGCTTGGGAAAGCACGAACGAGTAGTAGCCGTTTCATAATATAACTTCTAACATTCAACCACCGGTTCCTATATTATATATCCAGGTAGTTCTTAAATATGCTGTTATTTGAACGAATCCTTTAACTATCGAATGATGATTCCTCCTCAATAACGGTTAGTGTTAAATCATCTTTATATGATAGTTTAATCAATGGCATTGAATATCAACAAAAAATCTTTTTAAGTGTACGTTTTATTGGAGAGATTCAGAGAGAAAATCACATTACTTTTCTATCTATTTCCAAATATCGAAATATATATAATTAGCGTAAATTTCGAAGTTCTGTTCGTTCGTTGCGTTATATATATAAATTTTAACTGGATTTTTATTTTTTGTTTTCTTTTGTAGGATAGAAAGCTCGCAAGAATAATTCGAACTCTCGTGAACTTCGTTTAATTTCTGGTAAGAAATTTACCGGTGAATGGAAAGTCGCGCCGAGTTATCGCTATCGATTGTGATCGAACGTAAGCGAGCGTTTGTCGATTAGCAATGAGAGAGACGAGACGATAGATTCTTTCTCTCTCTCTTTTTCTCTTTTTTCTATCCCTTGGTCGGCACGTTTGTCGGCACGTTTGCGAACTTTGCGCCCGAGTCATGCATTGCTTTTCAAATCGATTTCGTAAGAAACTTTACTCTTAACGTATTTGTCTTCGTCGTTGTCGTTGTCGCTGTCGCTGTCGCTGTCTTTGTCGTCGTTGTTACATTCTCGCGTGTAACGTTCTAATTAGACCAACCACTATTGGACGATCATTAACGCGGTATTAACGATAAATGGGCACGATTACACGGCCCAATGAAGGGTGTAATGCAATAAATATCGGTAGCTCGTGTTAACGCCAAACCTAAACCGAATTCTTTTACTTAGTTATCGAATACACAAGTATTTATTTGCCTTTCACCTTTCTTCGAATTGCTCTTTCGAATATTCTTGGCATCGTGATAACGCATTCCGCATTATAACTTTCTTCCTTTCCTTCAAATACTTTCGCGTATACAAAGAAGCGTATACAATTTTGGAAAGTTTGTATTTTAAATATCGCGAGTTCTCTTATTATTTAAATTAACCTGATAATTATATCTGATATATATATATATATACAATTTCAAAAATATGTATAATTATTGTATAGCAGGTGTTACAAGTTGTAGTTGAAAAAGTATATAAATGGCTACTGGAAAGCTAAAGATTTAAAGATTAACACTGAACCATATTACCGGTTGTAATGTTAAAGATAAAATTAGAAAGCATTTAGAAGGAAATATAACGTCATAGACGTTAAACGTAGAAAATATATTGAAAATGTTGATATGAAAAATATTTAATGTCTTCTTTTACCTCTCGCGTTCGATAAACGAAAAAAAAAGTATCGAGCCAAGGATAGCGCGTGTGTGTCAAACAAAGAAAAAATATAAATAGAATGATACTTTGGTCTTCCTACTGGTTTCTCTTCGGTTCTCTGAGAAATTATTGCGAATCGTTATCTTCAGACCAGATGTGTCTCAAGAATAATGAACACTTTCCGGTGTCTAAAGGTGACGGCAGGGGACACACCTGAGTACATCGTCATCTTCTTCACCTTCCTCGTGGAAGTCTCCTTTTTTCTCTTATCTTTCTTCTTTTCTCTTCTCTTCTCTTCTCTTCAAACATTTTTACGAGTAGGTATACGTCTTATATTAGTTAGACCAGCGAACCGATAACGCTTACGATCGGTGCTAAATGCGCAGGTAAACTTAGAATTACCAGCTGCAACTGGTTCGAACTCGCCCGAGAAAGACAAATCGTCGATGCCACTTGCTAATTAACTTTGCCTGCCGGTTTTCCTTTCCACGATTGTGCTTTTTATTCGCGCGCGATAATGTTGTTTTTAAACGTAATCGCAGACATCGTTTAAATCACACGGGCTATACCTCTGGTCCATCCTGTCGATCCACTTTGCAAATATTTACGACGGTTTTCGAATAAAACGTAAAAGAAAGTGATACAAGGATGGAATCGTTGACTCTTGTCGGAAATATATATGTGTATCTATATAAAAACATTTAATGATATTCCTATTTCATTTACGATACTCGTTTTAGGATTTAGGTAGTATCGATTTGGTTTTAATTATTATTATTATTATTATTATTATTATTATTATTATTATTATTATTATTATTATTATTATTATACTAACAGTAATTATACTCCCTGAATACCTTGAAGTTTTCTAGAAAATATTATCTTATAATTAATGGACATAATTTACGGGAAAGGTACGGTCGAACAACGAAACTCGTATATTCATTAATTTTCTTCGTTTTTTGTTTTGTTTTGTTTTTTGTTTCTTTCTTCACAATTGCAATTTATTTGAACTTCGTTTTCAAACGCGAGGTTGTCTTATAACGTAAAAAGGTACATACAGGACATTCAGCGCGAAACGCTGTTGCATCGTCGCGAACACGTCGCATAAGCGTTCGCACAAGTTATATCATATGTTTTTTTAATAATAATTCTATATCGACAATAATATTGTTATTTGTAGCTTAATATTTACGACGGAGCCTGTTTATGGCAACTTGGAGTAATATATTTACATTAACGCGTTATAGCGATTATTTAATTAAAGCTCGCATCGATGTATGTTTGTTTAAAATTATTTATTCGATATTATTTATCGTCATCATCATCATCATTATTTTTTACATCTTAGGTGCGAGATTAATTTTACATACAAAAAACTCATCGATCAATTTTTAATCTACATGCTTACACATGTAACACATACTCGTTCTTTTTAAGTTATACGGTAGTATTTATTTCAAGCTTGCTGAATGGAAGCTAAATACGAATGAAATTCTTCGAAAATTGCGAGATTTTTCAAAAGGAAAGCCAAGAGAAGTACGAGCGTTTAAATATTGAGCACTAACAATTTACAGTTTTTTTTTTGTATTGTCTCGTTGCGTACTTTTAATAAGTGTAAATGCGTCTTCAAATTATTCGATCATTCGTCATAGATCTTTCAATATTAGGCTGAATTAAAAACTAGTTTTAAATCTGTGTTGCAAGATCAATTTTCGTAAGTTGAAAAATTCGTTTAACGAATAAACGATGATTTTATTGAAATCGGATAAATATATTTATATATAGAGTCTTTCATTTAGTAATAATATACAATAGAAAAATTTGTCAAGGGAAAATGTAAAAGCAATGAATTAGAATTAATCATTTGATTGAGATGCTTTGAAACGAGGGCTCCGGGCACACTCTTATAATTTTTCACGTATGCATGTATTGGAATAGTTTTATTTAGACGCCAGGTCTAAAAATCAATAAAGTGATTGTTTAATCTTCTTTCCTTTTTCTTAATTTTCCTTCAGTTTGAATCGTCCTGGAGACGAGATCGACGCAAGCAGCAAAAGATGGACCGATTACCGGTTGACCGTCAGGAATATCCTTGAGTTTACTTAAAGTCATAATATAACTGCATGCAATCCTAAGGACAGAGAGCTTAGACAGTTTTTGATTATGCGAGTAAGCGGGTATGGTTCGTCTTAGGGTGTCGAAAGCAGCGCTTATCGTATGAACCCGCGTTCTTTCTCTGGCGTTGGCTTCGATTCTTCTTTCACGTGTCATATTTTTGTAATTTCGTTGTTGACCAGTTCCTCCACTAGTGGCTGTACTTTGGAGATGCCTCGAATGATTGGTCTGTTGAGTAGCCGGTGCTTGATGATTTTGTTGCCGATGCTGAGGAATAGGATGATTTTGATGAGGATGGTGATGGTGATGATGATGATGATGGGGATGATGATGAGAATGATGCGGCTGTTGATGATGATCTAATGGATAAGTAGACGGTGCTCTTTCGTATGTTCCGCTGACAGCTGGATGCGATGGCACTCTTGGAATTTCTCCTCTTAAAACGAGCGCTAGTGGTTCCTCCTGGAGTTTCGGACGATTAGAAAGAACGATCCCGGATGTCGGAGGAATTGTAGAAGAACTCGTAGGTGTCAATTGTTCGAACCTCTGACGCGTTTCTCGTCTCGGAATCGCGTTACCGCGAGTCTGAATCGTTGAATCCGGGCTGCGGTTAGATACCTCTCGTAACCTCATCAATAACGCTTCTTCTTTGATTTTACCTTCTCTTATTTTTCGTATTTCTTCCTCCTCTTCTTTTTCTACTCCTCGAGCACTACTACTCGTCGACGTGGAAGATACGATCGTAGTGACAGCATTGGTGCTGTTCGACGTACTAGTACTCGAAGAAGTTGCTTTCGTCGTGCTAGTCTTTGTGTCATTGCTTTTGCTAGTTGGGCTATTCCAGGGCCTGAAAGGGCTCGGTGATCTAGCCGGTCTCGATTCCTCGTCAGCAACAACCGTCTCTTCGATCTGTTCGAACCTTCTCTTCTTTAACGGTGCCGTACTCGGTTCCTGAATCTTTCTCGGCTCGGCGAGTTTCCTCTTGTTTCTCAAAGAAATCGGTGTCACTTGTACCTCCACGCTGTCCTCGGATGCACTTAGCGAGTGTAGACCGGACATGTCGTCCTCGTCCCCACCGCTGCAGGATCCGTCTCTCTCCGATTCCGCCATTACTCCAGCTGTAACCGAAAAAATAAATCGATCGTCAGGATTGAGCATTTAATAGGCAATAATCGTCTCTCTGACGAGACTGTACTGAGAGGTACAATGAAAAATTGAAAGTGCAACGTGCCGAGTGGTATCTTAAATGATAAAACGATTATTTCGAATTGTCTGTCAGTTTGAACTTTGCTGGATGTGATTGTGCTCTGCAAATGAATTAGAAACACGTTAGAATGTTATCGAATTACCATAATGTAATATAAATAAGAAAGATTGTGAGAAAAAGTTCGGTTGGAAGTTGGCGAATGTTTTAAGCTCTTTGAAGAAACGAACGATAAATCGCACCGTTTCTCCCGGTAAGTTGTAAATTAAGCGCAAAGCGAGTCACGAGGATCTCGTCGTAGGCGCTTGCTCAGACGTCGCCGCTTTTGCCACCAACCATCCTCTCCTCGACATTTTCCACGAACCTTGACAATACACCGACGTTCTTCGATTTCTTCCAGTCCTACATCTACTACCGAGCCATACATGGCGAAATATATGGCAGAAAGTCTGACATTTCGTGCTGGCCACCCCTTATGTAACGTGTTCTAGAGCTAATTGCTCGTAAGACTCGTATTTAACGACACACAGGATTTTACACGTCTTACATGCAAACTACTACTATTACTATTACTATTACTTGCTGTTAAACGTCAATTTCATTTCTCGAAACAATACTACCTATAATACATTTCATTTTTAAATCGAATTTACGTAAATATCATTGACTAATACCATTGCTAAATATCGAAACGCGAAAGAGAGATAAAAATGTTTGAACGTATATACAATACATACATAGATGGAAAGATAGATATTTACATCCGTAAACGCAGTTGGCTTGGAGACACGTGATAGCAAATAAGAGGACGACGAAGCTTACGCGATCGTTTCCTTCGCGAGTGATTCTTCCGTGGGCGGAATCGCGTACCGGAGACGGGATGTTTTCAACTTCGGTGCGTCATCCAGCTGGTACCATCTGGCGTACAGGGCTCGGCCGATTATAATACGCGCCTCTCCCACTCTCTCATTCTCTCTCTTTCTATCTTACTTTCGTTCTTTCACTCCATTCTCGTTTCTCTCGAGCGGCTACATAAGCAGAAACGAAATCTGCTATTCTCGGCCATCGCCGACCCCATAGCCAGGAATCCTTTGGTTCGTTAAAAATACGTTAGCCCCACCGGAGGCAGGCAAGTGGCACGTGTCGGCACGACTCGGCCTAGTTAATAGCTAACATTTCTTATTACACTGAAAACAATATTTATCTTCTCTCTTTTTTTCTCTCTCATTTTGTTCATTTCTTTTATTTTCTCTGATTGTTTAGCTGTTGAAACTAATGATACCATTGACATCTTTAAAAGTAATCGTTTTCGAAGCAGCGTTAAATGTTCCTTCGATATAGGAATACACAGTGTTTACTCGACCCCAACGATTCTAATTATTATACAAGTCGCGTTCCGACACAACAGACGCGCGAGACTTCGCCTTCTCCCATCTTCTACTATTTTCGATGCTCTCTCTTTCTCTCTTTCTCTCTCTGTCTCTCCTATTTTACTCTCGGCACGTCGTCGTCGTGCGGCAGGTTAAACGAAGTCGATTGTCCACGTTCATTTCTAGCATAAGACTGAACAACCAACCGGTAAGCTAGACGAATGACGCCTGTCGTTGAACGTTACAACGACACAACAACGAAGAAGTGAGCCGGTCAGCTCGATCGATCTCGTCGTTCTGACGATAATTTATCGAGTTCTCTTCCTGCCAACTCCTCCCTCCCTTCCTTCCTATCATTCTATCCATTTTCTTTTTTTATTCCTTTTTACGATCTTCTTCATATAAGAAATATCTGATAGAACAAGGATTGTATTCACGGTTCACGAGCATCGTTCGTTCATAGACCATGGAAATAAAGCTTTCTTGTCTTTTTTCTCTCTCTCTCTTTCTTTTACATTTGTTTTTGATCAAACGTGACAACGAACCTGTATGACACGTCGTTCGAGTTTCTCGATTACAGATTAGATCACGTTTGTCTTTCTCTTTCTCTACCGTTCGATGCACCCTTTTTGCCCGAGTTCTCTCTCTCTCTCTCTCTCTCTCTCTCTCTCTCTTTCTTTCTTACTTATTCTTTCTTACTTATTCTTTCTTAAGAAGGAAGCTTCGTCGGTCGTTTGGATCCGTGGACAGTGGCGGCAGCAGCCACATGGCTCTGGCGCCAACCTAGTCTACGTCGCTTTCCTTTTATTGCCTTTCCGGGAGGCAAGTTGCTTGCACATTCGCCGGGAACGACGGGATCGTCTTTCTCGTTTGCGACCACACTGACCTCGGAGAGCTCCTTCTTGCTATATGCCATCTACCGCTACTGTCTATCGACCTATCAAAAGATTGCCTGCCTGCCTGCCTGCACAATTCTTTATTCTAATTGTTCCTCAAAATCTACGCGCATGTCTCTTTTCCTTTCACTATAATTCGACATGCCAATAAAATGTTCATAATCGAGATACAATATTTATTAGAACACGATAACAAAAGGAAACAACATACGTATTTAGGGATCGACGTAATCTCGAAATATCCACCTGTTGGCAAGGACCAAATAATTGTTCTGCATCAAACAAGATACGATTGACTTGAAAGCTTTACGTTTTAATATAATATTATACTAACTAATACATCCGAATTATGCAAATTCCAATGTTAACGTAAGAAGATGAAAAAGAATAAGACTTTTTCAAATGGGGTTCATAGAATCACGTATTTATTTCTATACGTATAACACCTGCGTACTATCGAAACCATGATATCAATCTAAGAAGAGGATTCTCTGCTAAAGAGATATAATACTTCGACCAGCTGGTGTAAAAAGGAAACGACGATAGAGAAAGAGAGGAAGAGGAAGAGAAAGTGAGTGAGAAAGAGATAGATAAAAGTTAGGTCGCGTGTTACGAAGTTTTTATCGCACCAGATAACCAACCTGGATTCTCGCCTATCAGCCATCTGTTTCTACTAAATCGTTGAGTATCGTCATCGTCAAGAGTTCTCAGCGAAATCGCATATTCTCATAACTGAGATTATCGTGAATCTCACTCTCTCTCTTTCTCGCTGTTTCTTTTTTTTTTCCTTTTTGACGCGACAACGAGAAAGGGAAGAGAGAAAGAAGAGAAAAGATAAACGGGAGCTCTTGACGACTATAGGAGGACGTAGGAGTCGAGAGAGGTCTTCGAGGTCGGCGACAGGCGCCAGTGAAGCGCGCACACACGATCGATCGATCTCTCTTTCTCCTTGTTTCTTACTTTTATAAACACATCGACAGAGAAACGAGATAGCATGCTTGATCGCGTTGAAAAAAATAGAGAGATAGGAGGAGAGAGAGAAAGAAAGAGAGAGAGAAATGTTTCGCGACTCCGCGGTTCCGATATCGAACGATATCAAATTCCATTTCATGATTTGTTGGTCCAAGTTCTCGTGGATCATTGATAAGAATTTACAATTATTCAGAATAAAAATATTATATGAATTATAAAATATATATATATATATATATATATATTTTACTATTAACAAGTGAATTTGGTAATTCATGAAACTATTAATTAATGACTATATTGATTTGTTAAAGTATGAAAACAAGATAGAATTACATACTTTAACTATCTATTTATTTTTATAAGATTAATATGAAAATTACATAAAATTAACTGACCCTAATTGCCAAAGAATTGCAACAGTTGTTGTCTTAATTATCGTTTGAATCGTTACTAACAATAAGTCGTTTCGTAAACCATCGGTTTGCATGTGTCATAGATTATTCTTACGAATTATCAACAATCAGAACATTTTTTTTCAAAATTTCAAATAGTTTGTATATTATTAATAAGAACGTTAGTCGGTAGCGGATGTTTTTCGTATTATTAAAGTGTATTTCTCGCTAAAGAGTAAATAAAAGAGTATAGAGAGAGTAATAAAAAATAAAAAAAAAGTCAACGTGTGAAACATTTACGACCTGATTAAAATATTAGACGGAAATGATTTGTTTGCAAAATATTACGTAGGATGCGTGTGTCGCGAGTATCTGTTAGAAGATGCTGCCTGAATCTATTTTTAAAGAATAATATCAGCTGAATGATCAGCTGTTCGTAATACTGCTTCCTTCCGAGAGGGACAGTTTCTCTCTCTCTCTCTCTCTCTCTCTCTCTCTTTTTGCAAGTAATTACGCACGCGGCAAGCTTGTGCGTTACGAATGTCATCTTGATGATCTAATGCAAACTCGCTAAGGTATATCTATTATAAACGATTGCACACACACACATACACATACAAGATTGCAAGAGAGCACCGGCCGATCGAAGATATCCACATGTGTGGCGCACGCATGCACGCTTTAATACGCGGCCATCTTTCCTCTTCTTCTCGTTCGGCAATTGTTCAAACAGAGACCGAAATAGTTCGAGGACATCTGTGCAAACTCTTACGTACACGAATTGTAACGAATCGTAGTAGAGAGGGTGACTGATATATACATATGTTAGTATATATCTATATATATATATATATATATATAAATATGTATAAATGCATATATACATACATTCGCAACTTTTTTACTCCGAGACGCGTGTTCTTTTTCACGCTCCTTCAATTTCATGAAAATGAATTACTTCGTATCTCTTTGAATAGCAAAGGAAGATGACGAATTACGAGGAATTCTATTGAAAAAATCGTTTCGAACATTGTTATTTTTTGCTAAACAAAAGTATTAAACAGGGAATAAATTTGTTTGACATCCTACCTGTTAATACGCAAAAATCTACGCTTTTTTATTTACAAGCCGTAAATAGGCTCGACATGAATCTTTCATTATTTCATTTGCATATTTAAATAAGAAATTATACCTGAGAATATTAATTTTAATAAATATCTATGAAATATGTATGTTAAAAGGTAATTTAATTAGTGCTCATTGCTCGTCGTCGATGTATCA